GGGGCGCCAGGGGGGCAGGCGGCACACGGGGGCTATAGGGGAGGAGGCGGTACACCTATAGGGTCTCCATAGCCAGGGGAGCAGGCGGCACACGGGGCGCCAGGGGGGCAGGCGGCACACGGGGGCTATAGGGGAGGAGGCGGTACACCTATAGGGTCTCCATAGCCAGGGGAGCAGGCGGCACACGGGGCTATAGGGGAGCAGGCGGCACACGGGGGCTATAGGGGAGGAGGCGGTGTACCTATAGGGTCTCTATAGCCAGGGGAGCAGGCGGCACATGGGGCTAGTAGGGGGGAGGAGGCGGTGTACCTATAGGGTCTCTATAGCCAGGGGAGCAGGCGGCACATGGGGGCTATAGGGGAGGAGGCGGTACACCTATAGGGTCTCCTATAGCCAGGGGAGCAGGCGGCACATGGGGGCTATAGGGGGAGGAGGCGGTGTACCTATAGGGTCTCCATAGCCAGGGGAGCAGGCGGCACACGGGGCTATAGGGGAGCAGGCGGCACACGGGGGCTATAGGGGAGGAGGCGGTACACCTATAGGGTCTCTATAGCCAGGGGAGCAGGCGACACATGGGGCTATAGGGGAGCAGGCGGTACACCTATAGGGTCTCTGTAGCCAGGGGAGCAGGCGGCACACGGGGAGTCTCTGGGCAATGGGCCGTGAGCCCCACGCAGGCCCTTCGGGAAGGCGGAGCGAGCTCCCGGCCCTCCCGCCGCAGCCCGGAACCGGCGCGCCGAGGAGCAGTTTCGGGGGGGACGAGGAGCGCGCGGGACCCGACAGGGCTGGGGGGCGACAGCGGGAACGGACCCGGCTGGGCCCGCCGAGGCCGCCGCCATGTTCGCGGGGCTGCAGGAGCTGGGGGTGGCTAATGGGGAGGACCTGAAGGAGACGCTGACCAACTGCACCGAGCCGCTCAAGGCCATCGAGCAGTTCCAGGTGGGGCCCGGGGACGGGGCTCGCCGCGGGGCTGGAGTTGCTCTGTCCCGGCGGGGCGGAGCGGGGCTCTCCGTTGGCCCAGCGGGGGCTCAGGCAGGCTCCCAGCCCGGTGGGGTCAGCGGGGAGTCAGGGCCCGGGCCCGGTGAGGTCAGCGCTGATCACTCCTCAGTGAAAAGGGTTCCAGAGGCCGTGACATCCACCCTGGTGGTGGCCGACGGCTGCAGGTCTTCTCTGAAGCCTCCTCTAGTTGTTTCTGATCCGGACTCTGCTCGAGGGCGGTCCCCTGTTACTTGCCATGGGCTCAACTGTTTCACCTTCGATCGTCCTCCCCTGAGATTGCACCGCTTCTGCTCTCTGGCCAGGTCTAGCCGCGCTGCTTCCAACATGTGGGACAGCGTCAAGGAGGGGTTTTCAATAGATCCAGACTTCTTATTTTTGATGTTATAATCGAGACAAAGTTTGGAGGCCCTCATCACAAGGGGATCTTTAAAAGCAACTTTTAAAATGAAGGGAGTCTCTCTCCCCATTGAACAGGATTTGACAGCTGTGAGAGTAGCTTTCAGGTTTTGTTTTTTGCAGCTTCACACAGGATGAGATGTGAAAAGGAAGCTTTGGTGACTCTTGGCTCTTAACACGCTGGTGCTCTGTAGTATCTTTTCCCCTCTGCAATGTAATGTTCTGTAATACAAATGAAAACTGACTGTGTATGTTACATGGCATCTCTAAGACTTCATGGAACTATTGCATGTGTCGTTACACGATGCTTCAGTGTTTTTAGGATTGGGGCATTGATCGTTTAGCAAAGCTTTGGTATATTTCAGCAGTGTTAGTTTATATATTTAGATTATAAAGTTGGGTTAATGGCGTTTAGCATAAGCTAGCCAAGTGCAACCGTTTTAAAAGTCCTGGTAGATTTTTGAATGATTAGAGAAACGTTGTAAGGTACTTCAGGCCCCAGATTTAAGGATAATTTAAAAAAAAACTTGTGACTGTTTTTGTATACAAATGGATAAATATTAATGGAACAATATTTTTTAAACAAATAAACATTCCTCTGCACTGTTTCCTACCCATGCCTAGGAGTCAGAGGCATGGACCAGGACTCTATTGTGCTAGTGTGTCCACACTCCAGGGTTGCACTATTGCATGAGAACTAGAAAAGGAAACTTGCGAGTCTTTCTTCATTGCCTCGGTTGAGTAAAAAGTAAACGGCATCAGTGATGAAAAGTGAACTAGATTTTTAAGTTTTTTTAACATTAATAGTATTACGCTAGTGCCAGTAGCGTAACTAAAGACATTTTTAAAAAATGTTATATTGTTTCTCACTCAATAATGACCATTTAAATGTATCCGAGTGCTTACTTTTTCTTAACATGAGTTGTTTTAGTACTCTGTCTTGTTATTTATTGCCAGCAAGGAATTTGTGTTTAATCCAACTGTATAACTCTGTATGGTGTTTGTTTTGCTAGACAGAAAATGGAGTCCTCCTGCCCTCTCTCCAGTCTGCTCTGCCATTCTTGGACCTCCATGGAACTCCTAGGCTGGAATTTCATCAGTCTGTATTCGATGAGCTGAGAGAGAAATTGCTGGAGAGAGTTTCAGCCATTGCCTCGGAAGGAAAGGTTGAGGAAAGGTGTGTTACTGATCTTGCTGCTGATTATTAATCATCATTAGAAATTAATTGCAAAATTAATCATGGCAGGTAAAGTTTTCAAAAAGCTTAAATGACTTAGTCACTTTTTCAAAAATGACTTAAGCACTTAGAACCCTAAGTCACTCAGGAGTTTTGAAAACTTTACCTGGCAACTTTTCTTGCTTGCATGTTTCCAGATACAAAAAGCTGGAGGATCTGCTGGAGAAAAGCTTTTCCTTGGTCAAGATGCCGTCTATACAGCCTGTGGTGATGTGTGTCATGAAACACCTGCCCAAGGTAAAATCTGTTGCATCTCCTGGTTACAGCCTCTTTCATTCTCTGCTGTTAGCCGGGCTGTATGCCACGTTTGCAAACTCTTCAGTCAGTTTGTCATTCACTGGCAGAAAAGTTTGTCTTATGCTTTGTTTGATTCTCATATCAGTTAATTTAATGTAGTTCAAAAAGCATTTCATGTTTCATAAAGCACACTCTACTTAGAGAAGTATGTTCTTCTATTTTTAAAATGTGCGTGTCCCCCCTATCTTTCCCAAAAATAGTTTGAGCTCAGTGGTAGGGGGCTTTTCCAGAACTGATTTAAATGGCAAGTATTTGAAGGATGCGGCTAGATTTTAAAAGGGGGCAATATTTCTGGAAAAGGGTACTTAAGAGGAAACAACTCTTCATTTAAGGCACTACAGTACCTTTAATGTAATAGCTTCAAAACTTGTACTAGTGCTATTGTATTCTGTAGACTAGAGTTTTGAACTATCACCATAGAATGCTGTGCTCCTTTTTTAATAAGGGAAGATGTTTGTTTAGGAGGAGGGATAGCTCAGTGGTTTGAGCATTGGCCTGCTGTGAGTTCAATCCTTGAGGGGGCCACTTGGGGATTTGGGGCAAAATCAGTACTTGGTCTTGCTATTGAAGGCAGGGGGCTGGACTCGACTCGATGACCTTTCGGGGTCCCTTCCAGTTCTATGAGATAGGTATATCTATCTATCTATTTCAAAATTAACTGAAGGAAAATGTAATGCTTTCTCTAGGAAGCTAAATACTTTAAAACCAGGGTGGTATTGGAGGGGTAGGGTCATGAAAGAAGGGTCTCTGCTGTTTCCTTGGGTTTTAATTGCACTGGTTGTAGAAGTTACTGGCCAGTTCAAGGTTGTGATTTAGATCGGGCTTATAGTCAACTACTTACCATTTTAACAGTCAGGTAGATGAACCCCTAAACTCTTTACTGACACTGCATTGTTGTTCGCAGGTCCCTGAAAAGAAACTGAAGTTAGTGATGGCGGATAAGGATTTATACAAAGCATGTGCCGTGGAGGTGAAGCGCCAGATCTGGCAGGATAACCAAGCTCTGTTTGGTGATGAGGTGTCCCCATTGCTGAAACAGTACATCCTGGAGAAAGAAAACACTCTCTTTAGTAGTGATCTCTCTGTCTTGCACAACTTCTTCAGTCCCTCTCCAAAAACGAGACGTCAGGGAGAGGTAAGAGCAGGGAGAACTTTTACAGTGACGTTTGGAATGGAATTCTCCAATCTCGGTCTTGAAAAGGGAGCATATTTGGTTCCTATCCTGCCAGCATCATCAGTTAATTGAGTGTTCGTCTGGCCTTACAACTTTGCTACCACCTGGAAAAAGCTATGTAAATATTTTGGCTAGTTATTTAATGTTAGTTCATCTTCATTAAACAAGTCTTAATTAAATCAACAGGTTAATCTTATATTTAATAGTTACAAATATAACAATACTGAACATTATCTTTATTAGAATAGCACCTAGTGACACAGAGTGATAGGTTAATCTTTTGTTTAAGCGGATTTTAAAAAATAACATTTAAATAGCTAATCAACGTCTTTAGCCAATAATATTTTTCCTGGTTCTGTCTGTCAGTCTGGGATTTAACCCATCATAATAGTATCTAAGCACCTTTAGCTGGGAGGGATAGCTCAGTGGTTTGAGCATTGGCCTGCTAAACCTAGGGTTGTGAGTTCAATCCTTGAGGGGGCCATTTAGGGATCAGGGCAAAAATCTGTCTGGGGATTGATCCTGCTTTGAGCAGGGGGTTGGACTAGATACCTCTTGAGATCCCTTCCAACCCTGATATTCTATGAAATCAGGGTTTGGGGTTTTTACAATTTTTATTTTGTTTTTGCAGGAAATAGTAATAGTTCAATAAAAAATTGGGAAGAAGCATCAAAAGCTGTGCATGTAGCTAGCCTATGGGACAGTGTGGTCTTATTAATGTTACCCTCACCCCAGCCACTCTTCCCTCCTGTTGTATACTACCCTCATTAACGTGTCTTAAACTCGATTGTAAGTTCTTCAGGGCAGGGATTGTGCCTTCCTATGTACTTGTAGAGTCTCTGTTGCAGTGGCGCTTTTAGACACTCCCACTATACACATTTTAAAATGTTTAAAAAAAAAAAAAACCAAATCCATGCCCCAAATAGTGTTTTACCCCAAAAAGGGAGAAATGCCAGAGACTCCATGAAGTCTCTAGGGACTTTGCTATTACTTTTGATTTTATGTGGTGGGCACTCTGGAACTATGGTGATAGATGGCAGTATAAAACCCTAAGATCACATTTACAACAAAAGCAATTCCTACTGGTATAGTTGGTATAACAGGTCAGATTGTTTAGCAAAGGGAACAGACGGTCTTGCAATTACAAAAGTCTAGACAAAAATCAATTAAAGCACAAATGGAGTTGAAATGCTGAAAAAGTCTGGTGTGAAATGTCCTTTAAAGCTGTATGTTTTAGTTCAGGCATTCCACAACTGATGGGGCAGGTAATGAAATCGTTTGAAAGCTGTCGTGTAGGAATATCTTTTGGTACCCTGTGTTTTTCCATTTGGGCTTTAGGTGGTTCAGAAGCTGACACAGATGATTGGGAAGAATGTGAAGCTATATGACATGGTGCTACAGTTCCTAAGAACATTGTTCCTTCGGACAAGGAATGTCCATTACTGCACACTACGGGCAGAGCTCCTGATGTCACTGCATGACCTGGACATCAGCGAGATCTGTACTGTTGACCCCTGTCACAAGGTAATGAATAGATGGACCGGACACAAGTAGTACTTCAGAGTTTTCAGTCGGAGCAGCTCTCATTTGTGCCAGCTGCCTTGAAGGTCAATAACCCAGAGAGGATATTCTCTCCAGGCATAGAAAATGGTTCAAACCTCAAGTTTGAAATTCTTATAGTCCTTGGAATGACAGGTTCAAATCCCAGCAGTGTTAACAAAGCCCTTTGTCTTTCTATGGTAGATAAATTGTTCGTCATGCTGTTTGTGGTGCTTGGTATGAAGTCTTAAAAAACAGTGTACCATCTGACCTACATGGATGCTGCCAAAAACAAAGTTCTTGCCATTGGTTTGCCCCAGTGTTCTTGGCCAGTTTCCTTCCCCTCCCTGTTGTGCATAGGACTGTGCACAAACTAATGCTCTTTGCCCAGAAGTGATTGCATTTCATTAGTTTAGTCTGTGAAGTGCTATGGAGCTTGAAGTATAAAGAGCATAAAATTAACAACTATTAAAATATAAGAAGTTTTGCTGTCTTATTTAGCACTGCGTTGGCATTTGTAATGTGAATTAAGTCATTCATCCACTATAAATGCAGAGTCGCATTCTGTTCTCTACACTTACGTCCTGGTTACATTATTTACACAGTTTATTTCTCGTGCGATGTGTGCTTCTGAAGAAAAGATACCAGTGATGAGAAATATATTTAGCACCTTCTGTACAGTGGGCTCCAAGCACTTCAGAAACATGAATTGATCAAGACCCACAACATCCTTGTGAGGAATATGTGGTTTTAATATAGACAGGGAGACTAACACATAGGGGTTATGGCTTGTCCAAATTTCCGGTGTAAGTCAGTGATAGAGCCAGGAATAAAGTCCAGATCATCTGATTTCCAGTCCCATGTTCTTACCACTAAGTGGTACTGCCCCCTCAGTTACCATGTACTCCATTGTGACTGTGATTCCACATTGATGGAGGTGGGCCATGAGATATATTCACATACTACACGGTATATAGTACGTGTTAATTTTCAGGGAATGCTTGTTGGGGGAGAGGAAAAGGTGATGCCAGTTGAACCTGCAGTACAACAGCTCCATAGATTGATCTTGTGTGTTTGGATGCCTGTTGGGCTTCCTCTGCTCCTGATGTCACACTGCCTCTAGAACTTCCCAACACACCCAGGACTGTGCAAGCAGCAGATACTGCTGGTCAGAGGTTGTTGCTGTTTGCATGGATTGGAAACTTTGTCTTCCCCCTTGTGCTGCCACATGAACCCATGTTCTGTTGCACTGATGGAGGTATTTGAATATAATTAGAATACCTGTAGGAGCTTAATGCAAAAGCCTCACCGATTAAGGACCTGTTTTGTCACTAGATCTGAAGCCTTTGAAAAGTGGGCAAGAGTCTTAAAACTGACGTGTGGTGGATCTAATGTTGCAGCTTCCTGTACAACTGTTGGGGAGGGTCGGAAAGGCTTATGTGGGTGTATTTAATTAAATATCGAGCCAACAGTATTACAGTGAAGCCTTGAGGTGATTCATATATTGTAATGCTAGTTTAGAGGAGTTGCCATGAGTGTGTTAACGACGTTGCCTTTCTTTGCAGTTCACCTGGTGCTTAGATGCCTGCATTCGGGAGAAGTTTGTGGATAACAAGAGAGCTCGAGAGCTGCAAGGGTTCCTGGACGGAGTGAAGAAAGGACAAGAACAAGTATTGGGGTGAGCAGTTCAGGCTCAAGAAACTGAGGGATTGATAGCGACGTTCCCATTATCCAGAGGGGCTGAGAATTACTTCAGTTGTTAATTCTCCACAAGTGTCTAGTAACAAAACCAATCATTGCCAAACATAGCCCTTCTTAGTGCATTCAGCAAGATAACAGGTTTATTCTCAGTATCCTATCCCAGGGCTCTAACTAGTCAGTGGCCTGTAAAATACAAGTTAACGGGGTTGTTGTTTTTTATCAGGCAGGACTTGCCACTTATAAGCATCTAATTAGTGATCTAAGGCAGAAACATTTCAGTTGATATAATACATTAGGTTTTATCATTATAGTTTTTGCTGCCTGTCTTCCTTCCCTCATAGGTTTTGGTATTCTGTGGCTGGGTGTGTGGTTGGGCCATGGGGTTTGTTAGTATATATAAAATGCATTTGTGGTTCTGTTTCCCTTCAGAGATTTATCAATGATCTTGTGTGATCCCTTTGCCATTAACACCTTAGCTCTGAGTACCATACGGCATCTGCAAGAGCTGGTTGGGCAAGACACCTTACCCAGGGTGAGTCTGAGAAACCTGCACAGATTACAAATGAGCCCTGTTCAGGTTATAACGAGACTGCATTTTTCAGCAAGGGAGAAACTGACTGACATTACAGGAGAAGGAATGAAACTGTGCTGTCAAATGCACAAGTAAACTGAAAAAGAGGAAAAACATATATTTTGTCCTCATTTCTTTCATTTGTAGTCATTTTAGGTGTCATGTAATTATGGTAGGTACACAGTTCTCAGACAAATGTGATTTTTCAAGTTGACAGTGCCCCCTTAACATTCCTCACACTCTACTAGATGCATGCTCTTCTAATTATGCATACTTGCAGGCAACTGCTTTCTGCCTACTTAAACTCCTGCTTCAGTTACAGCATTCCTTACTCCCTGTGCTAAACTTGGTGTCTTGCTTTGCTTTGGGCTGGTGGTAGGGGGATCTAGTAAAGTCAATTCCTGCTGAATGGGGTAACGGAGAGAGAGTTCTCTCTATTGTCCGCTTTATTGAACCATCTGAATGTAGAATTATAGGTGTTGCTCTGCGTTTACATCAGCCACACGGAGAAGAAGATGGTACACTTCATAATGTTGTGAGGCACTTGCTCTCTGTAATGCTGCGTTCGGCTGCCGACAATCCCTCGGCGGGGGAGGCAGAATTACATCGGGAATGGCGGCTGGCAAGTGACCGCCGTTCAACCCTAGAAAGGACTTAGAATGCGGTCTGCTGGTTGGATCCTCAGTTTCCCTGGTATGAACTGGGTACTCACGGGCTGTGCAACAAGAATGTGAATCTTTGCCCCCAGTGGATCAGGACTCAGATGCTATGATGGGAACCATACAAGGATCTAAATAGAAACACTTCCTATATTTCATCCCTTGGGCTGCATTTTCATTGTCAAATAAAATAATTTCTTTTTATCCTTTCAAGCTTGCAAAAAGGCCAATGTCATTTTTACACACTCAGTATTGGATATTTACTGACAAACATGGATAGTTTCATTCTGACACATATTGTAGTTTGTGATGTCACGTTGTTTTTGAAAAGTCTCTAGCCAGTCGTCTGATCAGATGGCCTGACTATCTCCAAGCACACTATCAAATGATTACACTGAGGTGTGTTCTGTAGCATTTGCAGCTGTTTGTGGCCCTTGAGCTATAATTCATTATTTAAATCATAGAAATTGACAGCCCCTGGCCGTCTTTTGCGATCTAATGTCTCTGGCTAATGCTCCTGAATCCAAGAAAACCCCTGAATATAAATGACTTCCAAATAAATCTCCAACAGGTCGAGAACTGAGGAAGAACATCACTTTTATTAAATTTGAATTTCCAGGAAAGCCCAGACCTCTTGCTGCTGTTAAGGATGCTGTCTCTGGGACAAGGGGCCTGGGATATGATTGACAGTCAAGTCTTCAGGGAGCCTAAAATGGTAAGCTTCTTGAAGAGTATTTCCTCATTGATTTCTTCATCTTCCTCTCTTAAAAAATCCTCAGGGTCACCTTTTCCAAATGCCTTTAATAAGCACTTGCAAAATTTGTAAATGTCCTGTTTGTACAGATGACACCTGGCATTTGCATGCACCAATAGGGTGAGAGTGTACACAAGTGGGTCCTCTTGTCAACTCCTCCCCCCTCCCGCCCCCTTTTCTTTTCTTTTTTTGTAGTCTTGAACATCTAAGCTTTAACTTTTTTATATCTGAGTTTTGCCTCTAACAAATTCAGCACCAGAAGCTCATAACTCCTGGGATCTCCGCCCAAATGGCGAGACTGTCGATCAGAATGAATGTGAAAATAGTATTGCTGGGGCTGGCTATGAACTCTTATAGCAGCTCATTGCATTGTCATTCAGTGGCTAGCACGTCTGCCTCCCCAGTGGTGTGATAGGAATGCTGTGGCGGTATCACATTCAACCCCTGGAAAGCGTATTTTGGATCGCTCAGGTGACCCTCCTCCCACTTTCCCTCTGGCCTGCACTCTGAACAGGTTTGGTAGCTCTGGGAGAAGTTCTATTCAGCTCTCTACAGAAGAGAGGTTAACCACAATACTGGGCAGAGGGAGGAACCTCCAAAAATTCCATTGCTGTTTCTGTTCTGTGCTGCAAAGTGGTGCAGCTCTTCCCCAGGGAGGGTGATTGAGGCATTGACTGTATAAACTGCTAGCTGACTGCACGTTTACCTCAGTGATGTACGTTTTCCATAGGTGTTTGCATAGGTGCTGGAACTAGGGGTGCTGCTGCACCCCCTGCCTTGAAGTGGTTTCCAGCATATACAGGGTTTACAGTTTGGTTCAGTGGCTCTCCGCACCCCCTACTCTACAATTGTCCCAGCACCCCCAGGTGTGTGTGCATGAATAGTCAAATACTAAGGCGATTAGGTACTTGCATCGCCCTCGACAAAGCCTTGGCTTACCTCATAACTTAATTGAAAGGTTCCTTCTTCACCTGTTGGTGCTATATGGAGAAAGCTCCACAACCTACTTCATTTTTAATGAACTTTGTGGTTCCATACGCTGCCGCTTCCCGTTGTTTTAATTTGATACAAAATAAGTAATTTTCAACTGCTGTGGGAATGGAGGAAATGAGTGTGACTTTCCCCTGGCACTCCTCCTGGGAGCATGACTAAGTGTGCAATGGTTAATACTGGTTCAGGGAATTAACAAGATGACTTGTACTCATTAGCATACTACCCTGTCCTTACCCAGATCTTCTGTGTCCAGCAATAATATAGGATAAGGTGCTCTAGACCAGATATGTATATCACAGGGTAATTCTGTTACAGCAGAAAATTCATTCAATAGTGTTCTTGTGTACAAAGTGAAGGATAGTTTTCTGATTATCTCCTTATATTCTACTGGAGGACATGAAAAGAGAAGTCAGTGGTTAGAGCAGGGACTTGGTGTCTGGATACCAGTGTTTTATGTTCCTGTCTACCATTGGTTTGCTGTGTGGTCATAGGTAAACGGTTTACCTTAGTTTTTCTAGCTGTAGGATGGGAATATTACATGTCACCTAAACACTTCGAGATTCTTGGATGGAAAGTTACATAAATGCTGAATGGCTTTTGTTTATATTGCAATGGTTTTTTTCCCCCCTTTAAGGAACATGAGTTGATCACCAAGTTCTTGCCGATGCTGATGTCCTTTGTGGTGGATGACTACACATTCAACGTAGATCAGAAACTGCCATCGGAAGAGAAAGGGCCAATTCCCTACCCCAGCACCATTCCCGAAGCTTTCACCAAGTAGGTCATCCACCTACGCACATTAGATCCTTTTTCCAACAAAGCATTAGGCTGTGTCTACACTACATCAGTTACAGCGACGCAGCTGCATTGCTTCTCGTGCAGACTCTCTAAGCCAACGGGAGAGACCTCTCCCATCAGCTCAATAGCTTCTTTCTCAGCTATGTCAGTTGGAGAAGTTCTGCTGCCGACATACCACTGTCCACACCGGTGCTTCGGTTGGCGTAACTTGCGTCACTCAGAGATGTGGATTATTCACACCCCTGAATGATGTAAATTATACTGAAATAATTTGTAGTCTAGGCGTAGTCTTAGGTAGCTAAGCTATACCACCGAGGAAGCCCATTATGTGCAACCTGGCACAATTAAGAGAGAAGAATTAACTCTAACAAATTCAAGGCTTCAGTTCCATTCAGTGGAACAGTTGATTAAAAAGACACCAGTAAAACTACAGATCTTGAATAGGTCACTAGAGATTGTGCTGCTGTGGAGCCCGTGAGGGTGCTGTCCAGTTTAGACGTTTCCAGTCAGAGAGCTCAAATACTGTGGCGTTTTTATCAAGGGCTCAGAGTGAAAGGCACCTGCACAAGAAACGGAACAAAACACGAAGGCCCTGATTCAGCAAGGTACTCTATAGTCGGTGTGACTATTCGTGTACTTAAAGTTAGGCCCGATTCAGCATATGCCTATGAGAAGAGAATAATATTGTCTTGGTGCCTTTGGCCTGAGTTATTTCTACATGGACACTACTGAGGAAAGTCAGTTGTAGACAGAGCTGACATTAAAAAGAAAATTTCGCGGTGTAACGTATTGCCAAAATTAATTAACCATGAGCTACTGCTGTTTAAACCAGATTGTGCGTAAGTGGGTTAAAGAGACCTTGGAGTGAAAGCACAAGAGGTTTGCTGTAGTACTTAAAGCTTTTGTTACCCATGCAAGAATGAAGATCAGTTCAGGCCTTCGTAGTGATTAGAAAGAGAATAGTTCTTTGACTAACAAACACGGCTGTTGCTCAGCAGTAACACAATTAGGGAGGTGTGAGGGACTGATCATCAACACTGTTTTTAAACGAGGCACATCAAATGGCTTTGCCCTCATTTTCAAGGAAGCAGAGCCTGTGTCATCCTCTCATAAAGTTCTCAGTGTCTCCTGTATTTGAAAACATTGAAGCAACCTGTGCGGAGCAAATATCGGAGGGGTAGCCGTGTTAGTCTGAATCTGTAAAAAGCAACAGAGGGTCCTGTGGCACCTT